AGCTTATCTAAATTAAAATTTCAATAAAAGGCCACACCATCTTGACCTTCATACTTTCGATTATAATTTTAACTGTTTCGGATTTTAAATACGTTATTTTCGTTATCTACTTATTACTGAGATGTATACACTATATTTCGTTTAAGGTGATGGAGGAGTAGTAGCTGAATTTTCTCACATTGGTATGAGTAGACCTCAAATATTCATTGAATCTTAAATAGACATGCTTCCCCAAAGGAATTTTCATCTAAGGTGGACTACGGTTTCGGCCTCGCCTAAATCTCATCAGTACCGTCAGTGGAACTCGAACAATGACAGTGCAGCGTATAATCTCGGGACGCCACATTGTCATGAGTGCTCTTGCATTACAGAGCAGATGTGACTTCTAAGGAAAGTCAGACATTTTTCCATATCACATTCTGTAGTAGGACTTTCGATGAAGCAAAGCTATAGTTGCTATAGAAATCGACTACGTTACTTATCTTCCGTTTGTAACTGGACTTTTAGGACTACCAGTAAATCATATGTATGAGGCGTATTCACCTTATTAGTGGCCAACCTGTCGAGATTATACGCTGCACTGTCATGATTAGAGTCTCGCTAGGGCTGCTGATAAGATCTATGCGAGGTAGAAATTCCAATCCACCCTGGGTGATAATACCTTTTGGAAGAAGGCTGTTGCCAACTCAATAGGCACGTAAGGTCTATTCATATAACTGTGAAAAATTCAACTATCAGCCTTTCCTGACCTTAAATGAAATATGGTAACGCATCTCATGCATCTGATTTACTGGTAGTCTCGAAAGCCTACTTCCAAAGACATTTTTCATTATTGTGGAGACTTGCTTTTATTATGCAAGTGCACGATTAAGAGATTGCTTGGTTGATCTCATCCGAAGACGACGGATGATTCCTGTTATTCTACAGCCATTTAGCTATAATTCTACGTTCTTGTGGATGCAATCAACGAGAGATCCTCCCTCGTTTCGGATAAAAATAGAGCGGGATTTCGTCCTTAATGCTATTTAACGGAGATTATCCGAACTGGAACTCATTCTTGTGAAAGCTTCAGTTTAACATTACATCAAGAAATATGTGATGAAGAGATTTGAAGGTCGATCCGATTTGAATAAGATAAGAAATTCGGGAGGAAGGATAAAATATGTATTTAACAAAACATTTTGAAAGGCATCGTAAGGCCTACTCTGGAGACCCAGGCAGAATGATAAAACTTTTCGGGAGACGAAAATAAGTAAACTTTGATGGTCTGGGAATAAAATTTTGAGAAAATTCAACTATCATACACTAAACAATTTGAATCGCCCTTAATGAAAAAGTTATTATTCATTTTTATCCCGATTAAACTTTGAAACTACCAGTAGATCTTGAAAAAGAGTTGTGTTCAACCTAGGTCACATAAGGTGATAAGGAACTGATAGGTGAATTTTCCAAAAAATGTTTGAGTAAGTCTCAATTTTCGATTCTGATGAGGCCTGCATGAGTTGAAAAATGCAGTTCAGTGTAAATGAGAACACCCTTTAAGATGCGAGGCAAATTCAACTTCATTAGTAACCTATGGCCAGTTCATATGTTTGTGGGAAAATTCAAGTATCATTTATTAGTTGGCAAAAACGAAATAGGATGAAAATAGATCTTATTTAAGATTTACTGATTGATTCGAATCCTACTTATTTGGGATACAAGTAAATTGTGTGCATGCACTATAAAATACAAATAACAGGTGAGTTTCGTGGAATCTCGTGTTTCATAACTGTTGAACTTACTTCCATTTCGATTGAAAGTGTTGAGTGTAGAGATTCCAAGGTCGGTTCCACCAGAAGGCGACGGCGGATTCCTGTTGACCAGCTGTCTATTGGCTTTACTGGAAGATTTATGTTGAGGCTGTTTCCGAGGTAATCTCCTTCGATTCCGATGAAAAAGTGCTAAGCTTTCGTCCGTCATATGATGAGCATCATCAGAGCAAGCTATCATCGTCACAACCAAATTTAAACAAACTAGCCAAATAAACTCACCGGTAAATCCCTTAAAAGTGGTATATATACTATACATCTAGCCTCTTTGATCAAGTATAAAGTGATTTGGGTAGTTAAGGTCATATGACAAATTCGATGCCTGTGAGTGTGTCTGTCTCTGTATGCGTATGTGCTAGTATGTGTTCACTTATGCACGAAACCCACAGTGATGGCTCAAAGTAATTAGGACAGCAAAACGGAACGTCTGATTTTGGCCACCAGGATTTGATGACCCCTATCTCCCCCTTTCTACATTTAAGTTATAACCATCACTCCGATTGCGCATTGTCGGACAAACGTCTGGTTTTGTTGATGAGTCTATATTTTGTTTTTGGTCTCAATGCGAAAGATAAAGAAAGTGACCTAAAAGTACAGAGAAGTGACTATCATTAGAAACAAGACAAGAAATACCTATTTTCGTATTAGAGTAGAGTTTCGAGACTACCAGTAAATCAGTAATATGAGAAGTATTTACCTTATTTCGTTTAAGGTGATGAAGGACTGGTGGTATAATTTTCCCACAATGATATGAGTAAAGCAGACGTTTCCATTGAATTTCACATTGCTATGCTTTCCCAATAGTTGTTCTCATCCAAGGTGCACTGCAGTTTCGACCTCGCATCGGTCTTATCAACACCCGGTGAAAGTGTAGAATGGGAGCTTGACACATTAACCACCCAGCCACATTGCCACGAGTGCCCTTGGGTCACAGGGCATAAGTGGCTTTCAAGGAAGGTCAGGCCTTTTGCCATAGCATATTCGTTCCCATTCTCCCATTCTGCACTCTCACGGTTCGACTCCAGCTGGGGGTGTTGGTAAGACCGATGCGAGGTCTAAACTGCAGTCTACTCTGGATAAAAACAACTTTTGGGAAAGCAAGGGTATGTGAAATTCAATGGAAACGTGAGCTCTACTCATGTCATTGTGGGAAAATTTTACTACCAGTCCTTCATTACCTTAAAGGAAATAGGGTGAATACATCTCATATTAGTCTTTCCTTGTCTTGGTTCTAATCATAGTCAGATCTCTGAAGTTTTAGCTCACTCTTTCTCTCTCGTATTGAGACCAAAAACAAAATAAGGCTCGTCAACATAACCAATCGAGTGTCTGACCTTGTGCAATCGGAGTAATGACTATAACATGTATGTAGAACGGAGAAGATAAGCGTCATCAAACCTTGATGGCCAAAAACACACGTTCCTTTTTGCTGCCCTAATTACTTTGAGCCAGCACTGCAGGTTTTATGCATAAGCGAAGACAAACAGGCACACACACATACAGAGACAGACACGCTCACAGGCATTGAGGTTGACATATGACCTGAACTAATCAAATCACTTTATACTTGATCAAAGAGGCCAAATGTAGAGTATATATACCACCTTTTAGGGAGTTGCCGGGGAGTTTTCTTGACTCTTTAGCTTGAATCGTGTTGTGACGATGATACCTAACTCTGATGATGTTCTTCTATGACGGACGAAAGCTTAGCACCTTTTCACCGGAATCGAAGAAGATTACTTTAGAAACAGCGGCAGCTTGAATCTTCCAGTAAAGTCAATAAACAGCTGGTCAAGAGGAATCCGCCGTCGTCTTCTGGTGGAACCGACCTTCGAATCTCTTCACTGAACACTTTCAATCGAAATGGAAATAAACTCAACAATTATAAAATACAAGGTATGAAGACCAAGATGGTGTGGCCTTTTATGTGGTCGCAGTCTCCCTTCGTTGTATAGAAGTTGTTTTACCATGTTTTTGCAACTTGGTCATATTGGTAGGAAGACCTAGAGGAACGCACCTAGACCGGAGTCCATTGTATGCATCATCATTCACAGAGTAGGACCATGGACGTGGTACATTCCCAGACGTTTAGCCGACATCATAGTCGGCATCGTCAGCGAGTCTCGCAATTCGTAGCACCATATTACAACTCGTCAAAGAGACAAATGAAGCCCATCCTCTGACCAAACGTGTGCTCAATTGTTGTAGTATCTCCCTTTCTGCCTTGGGCTATTCACATTTCCTATATCCTCCTATCATGCCTTCCCCGTCACAATTTTTACCGTGCTTTTTTTAATATAGTTTGATGTGCTCCTTCGAGCGGCATTCATGAAAACCCTTCACACTCCACACTGTCGTTATCATCCCCTTCAACCTTGTGCTAAGAATATTGACCAGAGTCTGTTATATTGTTACGTAGTCCTTCCCAGGGTCCTATCAAAGTCTTCCTCTTTCCCCATATAATCCGTCTGCTATCTCCCTCGTACATGTATTTCACTCGACCACTGCCCTCCCCATCTGTTCCGTTTGAGGCCTAATTCGTCCATCCCCTGCACCTGGGTGATTGATTTCAGGCTAAAGCCTCCGTGTAAGTCTCATGGTCATGCCTTTGCTACATGGACCAAGTTTCTTGTACAACCTACTGCCAGTCAACTAGCTCCAATCTCTGCCTCGTCTATCCTGTCTCTATCCATAATACCAAGTCTATGACTTGCCATGCCCTAGTCGCTTGTGTGTCAACCCACAAACTTTGTGGTTCAACATTGAACCTAATCAAAGCCAACAGTACCACAACATTTGTGGGTAAAAATTGTGACAGTGAAGGCATGATAGGAGAATATAGGAAATGTGAATAGGCCAGGGCAGAAGGCCTACTATAACTGTTTAGCATACGTTTAGTCAAAGGATCGGCTTCACTTGTCTCTTTTGACGAGTTGTAATATGGTGCTACGAATGGCAAATCTCACGGACGATGCCGGTGAAACGTCTGGGGATGTACCACGTCCACGGTCCTACTTTGGAAATGATTATGCATACAATGGGCTCCAGACAGAGTCCGTTCATCTAAGTCTTCCTACCCATATGACCAAGTTGCGAAAACAAGGTCAAACAACTTCTATTGTATAAGTGTGTTTTCTGGACTATTAGTAGATATGATATATAAGCCAGATTCACCCTATTTCATTTAAGATGATGAAGGACAAAGTAAGTTGAATACAACTTTTAATCAAATCTATTAGTAGTCTCTAAAGCCCACTTATAAAAATTGGGAATAAATAGAAAAACTTTAAATATATCATGCTTGGAAGCTCTGGCTAATTCTGCTGCTTCTACATATGCTCAAATTGTTTGCTATGTTAGAGTTTTACTGCTTGGCCCCTTTTTACATACTTCTCTAGTTACTTCAAGTTTACCCTACTTCTTTGTATAATCCTGAATTAAGGTTCATGTGAAACCGAAGCTTCACCACTCAAGCTATTCCTCATCTCCAAACTCGGCCAGCTCTTCTTTCACTTCATGGCGACAATCTAGTACTGCCGAACCTGCCAGCCGACAGCCGGCGTTAAGCATGCCCTTAGAGGTGTCCACAAGCGCCAGCCCCGCTTCTAGCTCCCTGCGGATCGAGCCTGAAATCAGCCAGCCAGCTGACGCATCATCTTCTTTCTGTCCATCCTCCTCATCGTCGTCCTCCTCATCCTCATCCTCATCCTCCTCATCCTCTTCTTTACCCACTTCCTCTTCCTCCTTCTCGGGCTCTGTCAATACCACTGCCGTTGGAGGCGTATCGACTGGCATCACTTCTTCTGCCCCTTCCTTACCTGTCTTCCGGCAAGGCGCTAGTGTTGACAACTCTTTCGGTCAGCCTTCCAGCCTCCAGATACCTTTTTCGTCGCCTTTATTGTGTCAAAGTCTGTCGCAATCAACGATACAGTTACCGTTGATTCAGCCTTCTTCCTCCATTCGACAAAGTGATGCAAGCCTTGGTAAGGTAGGAGGATGTCACTGCTACGCCTGCTATGATCTTCGACCGGCCGAGACATGTAGCTCCGAAGAGGTCGGAGCTTGTCGGTCAACAGGTCGCAAGACAGGCCAGGCAGACAGAGGCATTATATCTTCTTCCCCACAACAATGGTTAAACCCTCAACTGATTCAACCTCAGCCTCAGCCCCAGTCTCAAACCCAGACTCAGCTCCAGCCTCAGCCTCAGCTTCAGCTTCAGGCTCAGCATCAACTTCAGCCCCAGGTTCAGCACCAGCTCCAGCTCCAGCCTCAGTCCCAACCACAAGTTAATTATCAACCTCAGCTCCAGCAAATTTCCCAACATCAACACCCAAAACAATTCCTGGTTCAGCCAACTACCCAATCTCAGCCTCCCCAACCTCCTCATCTTCAACTTCAACCTCATATTCATCCTCAGCCCCAGTCACAGCATCAGATTTATTCACAACAACAACAACTCAATCTATTGCCGCAGCAATCAGTAGACCCTTGCCTCGTACAGGTATCACCTCTGGCCTCCAGTACTACGCCTTCTCAATGCTCCTCTCTGGTTCCTCCACTCTCTACACATATTCCTGCCCTACCACCTCTGCTGCTCTTACCGCCACCTCTTCATCTTCCCACCGCCGGATATCCTGGACTTCAAGTAAATCAAGCTATGAGGTTTGATTATTTGGTGAAGGCACCGCAGGTTCAGCACATGCAGCAACTTCAAAAGCTGGCCAGAATGCCGAAAGAGCAGCATGTACAGAGGCCACAACATCAGCTACAAATGCAAGTGCAACCACCCCTACCCCTACCACCACCAGCAGCACCAGCACCACTACCACAACAACAACACTTTAATACACAGGCATCTACAACGAATCAGCTAACTCTGCTTGCCAGACAATTACAGGGCCAAGTGGATTCACAGCTCACAAACTCATTAATTCCAGAGACCCTTCTTTCAGTTTTGAAGCCACCGGGGCACGAAGAAGGTATGGTCCAACCTAATCGGAAAAGTGAGACAAATGGCAAGATTGAAGGGGGAAAATTCGAGACTTTAAACAAGGGAAAAGGAGAAAGTCTTCTACAAAACTTGGTTCAAGTGCATCCTCCAGAATTTCGCCAAATGAGTAAGCATTGCATAACCTAATAACTTGAGTAAAAGTTGCAATAGCGATGGAGAAAATAAAATTAAAAGAGAAGGATACAGCTAATTTAAAAAGAATTAATAAGGAAGAATTATTAAAACCGGTTAAAGGCTTGACTAAATTTAAGAACAGTTTTCACCTAATTTCGTTTCGGGTGATAAAGGACTGGTGGTTACACTCTTTCGCAATCACTTTTCTATTCAATTTTTCAAAGCCTTGCTTTCCAAAGGGTACTTTCATCCAGGGTGGACAACTGCTTCAACTTCGCCTAGGTCTTAGCATAATGAAAGCTTAAGGTCTACTCATAGCAATGTGGGAAATTTCAACTTTCCGTCCTTTGGCATTTTATATCACCTAGACTGAATACAATTCTTAGGTAAGATTAACTGGTAGTTTTAAAACCTACTCAAAACCTTTTTATATGCATATTTATATTCCAAAGCTGTAAAAGTGAATGAAAGTGTGGGACCTACTTCTATCAGCGTGGAAAATTTAATTACCAGTCCTTCATAACTTTAAACAAAATAGGGTGAATAAATGCCCTATACAAATTCTAATAGTGGTCTCGAAATCAGCACACAAACGAAGATATCCAAGATATAAAGACCAAGATGTTGTGGCCTCTGGTAGAGTCGCAGACTATGTGCGTTCTACTAAGTCGCTCTGACAACAAGACCAAGTTGCGAAAACGAGGTCAACACACTTCTGGAAGATATCCAAGCTTATTCGACTTTCTGATATTTTGCCAAAACATCGATATAACTACTTTAAATTATGATCAAGACCAGGCCTGATATTGTGAAGAAATTTGATTTATTTAATTGAATTGCATTCATGTAAATACATGTATTTTTATTCAAATAACCACTTTTACACCAATATGCATCACATTGACCGCC